TCGCTACCAGCCAAACTGGATCTGGGGGTCGACCTCTTCGACGACGACGACCGAAAAAATATTTTTTGGGCTGGTTGCGACATTGAACGCGAAACTTTCACACAAGGTGCTGTTGGCCAAGCCGAGCCCATTGCTGTAATAAAAACCCCACGTTTCATTGTAAAGTTCGGAGATACAGGCACCTTTATGTTTGTAAGCGTGATGCTATAAGAAGAGTGGTCTTTGTTCATTGTCAAGTAGGTGGACCCTGGCAGAGCAAAAGATGCAGAGGGTTGTGTTCGTGTAGCACAGCTACTTTGCATGACTGGAAGGATTGATGGATTATACTTTATGGCTATCCATAATAGTCCATATATAGCGAGCTAATAGCCCATTCCTCCCATTCACCATTGTTGCCCAAAATCCACTGCATGTGAACGATTCTCCTGTTCCAGCCGAGCATTTCCATCATCCAAGTTTCTTGATCCGAGCCGATTTGACTGAGCTACGCTGGAAGAGCAAACATGAAAATTAATGAATCGCAGACCCTGCGAATGTCTCCGTCTTTCAAACTTTTGGGCGCTCCCATTCCAAATTTTCAAATGAGGCGTGAGGTTTTTATTAGAAAAAAGTTGATCAACATGCTCGGAGCACCCTTCTGACCAATTTTCAAGTTGGAAGCAGGCAACTTCGGGGCGGTGGGCCGTCCACTCTTACGCTCCCGCAGTTCATCGCCCCTCCTACATTTGGGCCGCCCCGCATTTTAAATCTTCACAATGAAGCCTGTGGTTTTTAAATGAATAACGTTGATAAGCATGTCCCAGAGCACCTTGTGTGAAAACTTCAGGCTCGAGAGGGGGGAATCTCATAATCAAGGATTGATGTACAGTGTTCATGCATTTATACAAGAGGTGTCCCGCCTATTTAATTTCCACCTCTTCCTCCTCCCGCATCTTGCTCTTCCTCCCATTCTCCACTGTTGGCCCATTCAAGTATACAACTACCACCTGCGAACGATTGTCCTGCTTCAACCCATCATGTCAATCCTATAATTGTCTTGATCCGATTGTGTTTGACTGAATGGCAAGTGCATGGCGTGTACACAGCCTTTTTGTCACTCTTCTACAACACACGCTCTTGCACGCTCCTCTGCCACAACCAATCGTAACAGCATTCATTCCAGCAGTTGCTATTAGCGATGCCTTTACTCCATTGCCTCAAACAGCGTTCTTGACTTGCAGCAACTTGCCTTACAGCCTTGTTTACGTAGACAGCAGATAACCATAGTATAGAAGCAGCTTCATTTACGAGTAGCAACTTTATTCAATACATACGACTTCTTGTGGATATGGATAGGATCTGAATATTGGTTTGGTACATGGGATGGAAGGAATTGGATATACACAACGCGTTGAATTCGCTTGGCCCATTCAGAACGTGATGTCTAGTTTGGATGAAACCATATCAGCCATCAGTTACGCCGTGATACACGCAATCTTCAGCTGGTTGAGCTGCGATCGAACATGACCAACAAAGAGAGAGTGGCCAAGGATCGGATGGAAAAGGAAGCCATCAACAGCAATCACTGGGGCTCTTTTCTACCAACATGTTAGATTTGGAATGGTGATGGTGGGTGGATGGACGCAAATGGGAATCATGGTGATTACTTGTCGCTTTGTCAGCAGGACGGATGGATCATATCACGTGGATACGGTTGAGGAGGATGATCATGCATGGGGTGGAATTGAAGAAATGTGTTTACGGCTATGGATGATATTGGAATACTCGAGTTAATACAGACGGCTGCTATTTTGCAAACATGTGAGGGATTTTATGAGGACAGCAACCAAGAATACAATGACACCATCTTCCTCGTTGCCTCTATGTGATTCGGCCCCCTTTCTTATTCAAATTGTAATGCTGTTCCTGTATTCTATTTACTTGATAAATATCCACACTACACTATGCCATTCTTCGACTTTCATTGAATGAAAATTGGATTAATTAGAAAGGGGATCGTACTATCAGGTTGGATGTGCAAGGTGCAGGTCACTTGGATTGAAGGAGAGGGGAAATAGAAATTTGCAAGGTTGGAAAGAGGGATCAGATCATTTGCATCATCGTATGTATCATTCGTTAAAGCTTTATAGCTCACACGCTGATACTGTAGATGAAAGCATTGGAAATCCTCGAATGATTGTGTTGCAAAGATAATAAATTAGAGAGTGATGATACCCAACAACTGCTTGTTACTAAAAGCTTAACTTGGTTCTTTGTATGTACATGTCTTTAAGTAATCGAACGTACTTTTCGGATTCATCGTACAATGAAAAGCGATATCTTTAAAACAATTTCGAATTGATACATCCATTTTATTTGAATGTGATAGATGAAACAATGTAAGACGACCACGCTATAATACAAGCAAACCATATTGCAGCCAACTGGGCATGAATCAAGCATCGCTAGACATATCCGAGTAGCTGGCTTCAGGTCCATTTTCAATCCTTGTGAGGGATAAAGATGCGTTGTTGATAGTACTGTAATTCTGCAATGCTCTCCTTGATGTCGTCGAGTGCTCGGTGGGTGTTCTTCTTCACAACGCCAGCAGCAATATCTGGATACCACCTTCTTGCCAATTCCTTGATAGTGCTCACGTCTATGGTGCTTCAGTATTTCAACGAGACGTATTATCAACATGTGGTATTTACCAACGATACGATAATGAAGGTAGTTTACAACATCGGGCATCTCCTTCTCCAAGAAACGCTTGTCAGCATGAACTGAATTTCCTGCCAATGGGGCATCTCCAGGGTTGATATGTTTCTTGAGGAAGTCAAGCACTTGCGATTGTGCATCAGCAGTTGACACATTGGAATCCAAGACAGCTTGTGTCAATCCCGACTAGCAACAAAAGCGTAAGCTTGTAATCCAAGTTTGTACATCATCATCCACTTACTGTTCCATGATGCTCCTTACACCAATCTATCTCAAATGCGTGTTTAATAATAAGGTTGATCATCTTTGACTTAAAGGGCATTACCATTCATGCTATCCATCACTTGGCGTGGTTGGTGGATGATCAGCTCTGGTCCCTATGAGAACCCGTATTAGTTGCCAAGATCATAGTGCTGGTCTCCCATATGTTTACCTCTGCCACCACGTTTAAGTCGCCATCAGTGATAAGTACAGCGATCTCGATCAAGTGGTCTTTTGTTAGATCGAGACCTGTCATCTATATAAAAAGTCGACCCGTGTTTAGTAGTGTATACACACTCACCATGTACGCTTCAGCATTACCTCGCAGTCGATCCATACAAGAGGATTCTTCACCATTGTGCTCGGGAATCTCAAATGGCTGAAAGAACGCGCCAAAGTATTCAGCATAAAAACCGTGTTGCGGAAGTAGAAAAGATACCCTTGTCAAGATTTTTGCATTGGCATAAACGACCCGCGTACCTGTCTAGAACCACATGCAGATCGTCGTGTGAGCTTCAAATGCGTTGTTTAGCATGATAATGAATGAAACAATGACACATTTCCTCTTCAATAAAAAATTCTATTCCTCCTTATTGATGGCCCCATCACATCCCCTATCCTTATACAGAGTCCTCTAATATCCAACATGTATACCCCAATTGTCTTCTTTGTTTTCCTAATGTTTGTATGCAATAAGCCTATTTTTGGAACAGAGGTCGTTAGGCATCCATGGCTATATAAGTTGATCAACAAGCAAGCATGTCAACGGTCGAGACCACGAAAACGAGTAGCATTTGTAAAGTGTAAAATGGTGGTTGTTTAATTAAGAGAGAACACGTCTTGTTATCTAGTAGACACGGGCGAAAGGAGGAACAGGCTTGCACTCATTCTCATCAAGGGTGTTGGCTTCAACGGATCGGTAAGTAAGCTTAACTTCACCAGTTTCTTGATCTTGGTATGAAAGAGTGTGCTTCATCCAGTTCTCATCATCACGTTCCTTGAAGTCTATAATACACACACACATGTTGTTAATGACCCATTCCCAATAAAGGCTATGTATATGATATTGATATTTACCATCACGAGCGTGAGCACCACGAGACTCAGTACGAACGGAAGCAGCGTGCATGGTTTGAGCGGCACAAGTCAACAAGTTTTGAAGTTCAAGAGTCTCGGTCAAATCAGTGTTCCAAATCATACCACGATCAGAGACCTTGACATCAGAGAAGGACTTGAATACTTCATCAATCTTCTTGACACCTATTTCATACGTCAATAAAACCATCTCATATCATTTCTCATTTGTATCACACATACCTTGATCCAAAGTCTCTTGAGTACGGAAGACAGCAGCATCAGCTTGCATCACCTTTTGCATGGCAAGACGAATCTCAGAGGTACGCTTGCTACCATCAGCGTTTCTTAACTTGTCAAGGTTGGCAATGGTGTTGGCACCTGCGTCAGCAGCGAATGGCTTGAGAGGAGTACCGGGTTCAAGAGTTTCGGCAATGTGGTGGGCAACGGCACGACCAAAGACGACAATGTCCAAAAGGGAGTTGGCACCAAGGCGGTTAGCACCGTGAACGGATACACAAGCAGCTTCACCAGCGGCGTACAATCCAGGAACAACAACATCTTCACCCTTCTCATTTTGGCGGATGACCTCACCAGTGTAACGAGTAGGGATACCACCCATGTTGTAATGGACAGTGGGCAACACAGGGATAGGTTCCTTGGTAACATCAACACCAGCGAAAATGGCAGCTGTTTCAGAGATACCAGGAAGACGTTCATGAAGGACTTCAGCAGGCAAGTGATGCAATTGCAAGTAGATGTGATCCTTTTCTTCACCAACACCACGGCCTTCCTTGATTTCAAGAGTCATGGCACGAGAGACGACATCACGTGATGCAAGATCCTTAGCAGTAGGTGCATAACGCTCCATGAAACGTTCACCAGCAGAGTTGATCAAGATACCACCTTCACCACGAGAGCCTTCAGTAATCAAACAACCAGCACCATAGATACCAGTAGGATGGAATTGGACGAATTCAAGATCTTGCAAAGGAAGACCAGCACGAGCAACCATGGCGTTACCATCACCGGTACAAGTGTGAGCTGAAGTGCATGAGAAGTAGGCACGACCATAACCACCAGTAGCAAGAACGGTCTTGTGGGAGCGGAAACGATGAATAGTACCATCCTCCATGTTGAGAGCAATCACACCCTTACATTCACCATCTTCCATAATCAAATCCAAAGCAAAGTATTCGATGAAGTAGTTGGTGTTGTGACGCAAAGATTGACCGTAGAGAGTGTGAAGAATGGCGTGACCGGTACGATCAGCGACAGCAGCACAACGATAAGCTTGACCACCCTTGCCGAACTTTAAGCTTTGACCACCAAAGGCACGTTGATAGATCTTTCCTTCTTCGGTACGAGAGAAAGGCACACCATAGTTTTCCAATTCCACAACGGTGTGAGGAGCTTCACGACACATGTAATGGATGGCATCTTGATCACCAAGCCAATCGGAACCCTTTACAGTATCATACATGTGCCATCTCCAATCATCCTCAGTCATGTTGCCCAATGCTGCATTGATACCACCCTAAAAGAGGTAATCAGTATTACACGAACTCCTCCACACCCCTCCCTCCTAGAAGAGAGTAGTAGTAATCCTTACCTGAGCAGCCACAGTGTGAGAACGAGTAGGGAACAACTTGGTGATACATGCAGTGTTCAAACCAGCTTCAGCAAGACCAAAAGCAGCACGAAGACCAGCACCACCAGCACCAACAACAACAGCATCGTATTCGTGATCAATGACAGGGTATTTGCTGGCAATAGATCCCTATGATAACCATGAATATATAAGGTATTACGCTATACCATACACGCACAAACACGATTCAACTTACGGAAGCTTCCTTGGCACGAAGAGGATTGGTGGCCATCACTTGCATTGCGGGCTTGGAATAGTGGAGACCACGAGCAGCCATGCGACCAGTAGAAGAACCTGAGGAGAAAACAATGCGCAATGCGTTAGTAGCTTGACACATTACAAAAGGGGGAGGGTGTTGAACAAGTCAATTGCTTGCTGACGTACGAGTGGCGCGTGTCTATAAACATAATGGGGAGTGTGTGTTTAGTGGGCAAGGTCAATAAGAATGTCCCATGGCGTTGTTACTTACTGCTGAATGGGAAGCGGACTGCAATAGTTTCAACATGTTGATATATGTAATATGCCCAATGAGAAGAAAAAAGAGAAGAGTGGGGGGAGTAGGGCGTAATAAGTGAAAGTGGAGTGTGTTTGTGTGGAGAAAGAAAGGGCTGAACAGTCGTGTTTGAAGCTCACAAATGTTTTTGCCGGATTGCTCTCCGGAATAAGGCGATGCCGCTGTAGATGTGTATTATAAAATTCGCTCCACAGGCACAGTGGAGACGAAAAATCACATGCATGGGTCCGTTTCCCGTTGACCATGTTCCCAAGACTGATAGTAACCCTTATCTCTTTTTACTTTGTTGCACAAAAATCTATATACAGATATTACACACATACACACATACACACTGATGTCGTCACAGTTATTCATGCCAAAAAATATATATATCATCCCTTTATACATGCGCATGTGTGTTGTGTGTGTGTCCTTGGAAACGCAAAGCAAGAATGAGATGTCAACAGCCAATCAAATAAACTCGTTTCATCATTGGTAGATCTTTTTGATTTACCTTTTACGCTTTCCAAGTAGTACAGCACAATGATGATGATCATCATCATCGTCATTGGCCAAACAAGCCTTGCCATTCACCTTGAGTGGATTTTAATTCACGTTCCAATAACTTGACTTTGCGTTCCAATTGAACCACCTTGGCTGTAAGGTCATCATAGGCTGTGCGAACTTCCTTTTTGGCGTCATCCTCCTGGGAATCAGGTGATCCAGCACTCACATAAGCGTCTCGTAGTGAAGTCAAGACCACATTGATAGTAGCACATTCATCTCGTAGAAAATCAAGCTCATTTTCCAAAGCGGCAATTGCCCGTTGTGTTTGACGTGGCCTAGGCTGGGGTGTAGTAGCGGGTGATGATGGTGTTGGTGTTGATGGTGTTGGTGGTGGTGGAGGACTAGTAGTACTTGATGATTGGCTATCATCCATGAGCATGAACAGATGCTGAGGAGACAAAGAAGGGGATGCAATATAAGAAGGTGGTAAAGAAGAAAAGGCCATTACGCGTTAGTATGCAACGCGTGGTTTAGTTTTATATCGCCAAGAATACCCATAGCAACGGATCTGTGTGCATGTATGGAGATATGGGAAGGGGCGAATCACCGGAAGAGTTTAAAAGCGTCTCGTAACATTACAGTGTACAGCACCGTCAAGTGCTCTTGTATATATGCGTATATGCAAGCGTGTGTGTGTGTGTGCAAACGTGCGTTTATAGTGGAACCCGTGGGCGAACAAGGTTTGCTTTTGAACAATTTCATTGGAAGACAGGGCATGTCAACGGTAGAATAAACTTTTCCTGCGTTTGCCTGATCAGGCGGCATGGCCGGCGGCGGCGAAAGTTGCAGCAAACCCGTATGAAGCATCCCACCAAATGCATCAACTGAAATGAGTATAGCCTGTTTATCCTTGGTTGTAAGAGAAAACTTGGATGCGTGGTGCACGATGATACACACCCTAATGATGATGATGAAGATGTACATATGCAATGTGCTGTATGTACGCTTACATCAAAATGCTTATCATCCAAGGTGGTCCCTGGTGCATCAAAGTTGTTGTGTAAAGTAGCTTTTGCCTTGTTCAGCGAAATAACCGATTTACTTGAAAGCAGCATCATCCTGTAATGTTCTTTTGTGACACGGAAACGTCTCAATCATGTGGTGCCCGCCTTTCTTTGTCTCACATGCAGCCATTATGCAAATGAGCTTTACGGATTCGCTTTGTTGGGATCATTCATTCCATTGTCTATGCTGCCAATTACTCTCCATATTTGTCCATTTGAGAACATAGAAGAACATTAGATAAACACAGGGTTCCTTGTTTTCCCTGATGACGATGGTGACACAGATCGTGCCATTGTAATCTTGATCAAACCCAGTTTTCAAGGTGCTCTTCTTCTTCCAAAAACTCTATTACGTTTATTCATGTTTATTGGGGTGCATTGTAATACATATGGCAACCTGTGCCAAAAGTCTAAGACCGATGGGGAGCAAACTTTTTGATGGCTGCAATCAGCTCGGGAAGACGTAATGGCTTGGTTACATATTCATCCTAAAAGAAAATGTTGTGTGAGACATGGTAAAGCCACATTAATAATACCTACACAGCCATCAATACCAAACTTACCATTCCTGCGTCCAAGCACTTTTCACGGTCTCCAATCATAGCGTGTGCTGTCAATGCGATAATGGGTATACGAGAATTGGTTCCGGATTCATGTTCAAGATGGCGAATAAGCTGAGTGGCTTCAAATCCACCCATCACAGGCATCTGCACATCCATCAATATCATATCAAAAGATTGCGTCTCAAATGCCTCCACTGCAAGCTTGCCGTTTGATACAATCTTGACGTTGTGTCCAACCTTTTGAAGGATACGCAATGCGAGTTTTTGATTGACGACATTGTCTTCTGCCAGCAGAATCCGTAAAGGTGCAATTTTTCCAGAGTCACTTGGCAATGCCACATGGCTTTCGAGTGCTGGTAATAACGCATCCAATAACTCGGGAAGATTGCGTGGCGAATTGATGTAGGCGGTGATACCAAGATCGATGCATAGTTTCATATTAAGGCGATGTACTTCAGGTGAAATGAGAACAAGAGGGGTATATCGCAATGGTATCACTTCACGTATGCGCTCCGCTTGGCTCATCTGATCAATGATCACCGTATCAAAGAAAGGTGCATGGTCACTTGAATTGGTATGCTTGTTGGCTAACTCTGTTGCTGCAGCCACGCTGTTCACACGAAAAGTCTCCAAGTTAAGTTGCTGTATTTTATCGGCTACCCCCGTGGTATCATTCATGCTGTCAACAAAGAGAATGCGTCGTCCTTGGAACTTTGACATCTTCTCCAAAATCTCCTTCTGTGCCACATGATACTGCCGTAATTTGACTGTAAAGTAAAACTGAGATCCACATCCATATGCTGATTCAACCCATAAGTCGCCATGCATCAACTCCACAAGGTGCTTGGAAATAGAGAGACCAAGGCCTGATCCACCATACTCACGACTAACAAGTAATATTAGTGCCCATTCACAAGTCATGGTATTTTGTTGTATAGCTTACGTGGTGCTTCCATCTGCTTGACAAAAGGTGTCGAAAATGATGTTGAGCTTTTCTTGTTGGATACCAATACCAGTGTCGCTAACGCAAAATTGGACCTTCACAAAGTCACCATCCATACCCAAGACACGAGTTTCAAGCTCTACTCGACCTTCAGTAGTAAACTTGACGGCATTGCCAATAAGGTTCGTGATCACTTGTCGCAAGCGTAGTGGATCACCGATAAGCTGATCAGGGATAGCCTTATCAACATTGTAGATCAAGTCGAGCTTCTTTTGATTTGCCTTGACAGCAAGCGTCTTGAGCACACTGAAAACGGATGATCGCAGCGAGAATGGGATAGCTTCAATAGTCATACGACCCGCTTCGATCTTTGAGATATCCAAAATGGCATCAATGATTGATAATAACGAGTTGGCGAGACTGGATACGATCATAAGGTTTTCACGCTGTTGTCGTGTGAGTTCTGTTTCGAGCGTAAGGGATGTCATGCCAATGATGCCATTCATGGGTGTTCTGATTTCATGACTCATATTGGCCAAGAACTCGCTCTTGGATCGATTTGCCATTTCAGCGCTCTCTCTTGCTTGTCCATTCTTGCGGATGGCATCACGTAGCGAACCCACCATCTGATTGATCTTGGTTTTCAATGCATCCATTTCACCTTGAGCTTCGACAGTGATAAGCCGTGAAAAATCATTCTCTGTTGCAGCTGCTGAGATGGATGCAAATGCACGCACTTGAGTCGTAAGATTGGATGCCATCGTGTTGACGTTGCTGGTAATCTCAAGCCAAACACCTTCAACGCCTTCCACTCGAGCTTCGACACCAAGGTTGCCTTCTGTACCCACTTCACGAGCAACACGTGTCACTTCAAATGCAAACGAATTAAGCTGATCGACCATGGTATTGATGGTATCCTTGAGTTCGGCAATTTCACCATGCGCCTCGACTTCGATTTTCTTTGACAAGTCGCCTTGAGCCACAGCTTTACATACGGCAGCAATAGATCGCAATTGGTCCGTCAAGTTGCTCGCCATCAAGTTCACATTGTCTGTCAATCCCTTCCACGTGCCATCAACACCGCTAATAGTTGCTTGGCCGCCAAGTTTGCCTTCTGTGCCAACCTCACGTGCCACTCTGGTGACCTCCGCTGCAAACCAACGTAGCTGATCCACCATCGAATTCACCGTATCCCTATCATAAAGATGAGTATGATGTTGAAAGCATTCATGTAATATACATACTTGAGCTCCATAATTTCACCCTGAACCTCGACATCAATCTTTCTCGAGAGATCACCCTTGGCTACAGCTGTGGTGACAGTAGCAATGGATCGTACTTGGGTTGTCAAATTTCCAGCCATCATGTTGACATTATCTGTCAAATCCTTCCACGTGCCAGCAACACCTTGTACGACCGCTTGTCCTCCAAGCTTTCCTTCAGTACCAACTTCTCTTGCAACCCTGGTGACTTCGGTTGAGAAGACTCGCAATTGATCCACCATGTTGTTGACAATATTCTTGAGCTCTGATATCTCGCCGCCGCTCTCAACTTCAATCTTCTTGGATAAATCACCCAATGCAACAGCTTTGGTCACCTCGGCGATCGAACGCACTTGGTCCGTAAGATTGGCAGCCATTATATTGACATTGCTTGTGAGCTCATGCCATGTACCAGCAACGCCTTGAACAATGGCTTGACCACCAAGATTGCCATCCGTGCCAACTTCCCTTGCCACACGAGTAACTTCGGTTGAAAAGACCCTCAATTGATCCACCATGTTGTTGACAATATTCTTAAGCTCAAGAATCTCGCCACCACTCTCAACTTCAATCTTCTTGGATAGATCACCATGGGCAACAGCTTTTGTTACTTCTGCAATAGAGCGTACTTGATTGGTAAGATTGGCCGCCATAACATTGACATTCCTGGTAAGCTCCCACCATGTGCCTGCTGCCCCTTGAACTATAGCTTGACCACCAAGATTGCCATCCGTGCCAACCTCCCTTGCAACACGAGTAACTTCAGTCGAAAACACACGTAGCTGATCCACCATGTTATTGACAATATCCTTGAGGTCCCGAATTTCACCACCACTTTCGACTTCAATCTTCTTGCTCAAATCGCCTGAAGCAACGGCCTTGGTAACTTCGGCAATAGAACGTACTTGATTGGTGAGATTGGCTGCCATGGTGTTTACATTATCTGTCAAATCTTTCCACGTGCCACCAACACTGGGTACCACCGCTTGTCCACCAAGTTTGCCTTCGGTGCCAACTTCCTTTGCCACACGTGTCACTTCAGATGCAAACACCCTCAGCTGATCCACCATGTCGTTAACGATGTTCTTCAAGTCCAAAATTTCTCCTCGAGTCTCAACTTCAATCTTCTTCCTCAAGTCACCATTCGCGACAGCTTTGGTCACCTCAGCAATAGAGCGCACTTGAGTTGTAAGGTTGGCAGCCATGATATTGACATTGTTCGTGAGCTCATGCCACATGCCAGCTACGCCTTGTACAACAGCTTGGCCTCCAAGTTTGCCTTCAGTACCCACTTCCTTGGATACACGAGTCACTTCGGAGGCAAATATACGTAATTGATCCACCATGTTGTTGACAATATTCTTGAGCTCTGATATCTCACCACCGCTCTCAACTTCAATCTTTTTGGATAAATCACCCAATGCAACAGCTTTGGTCACCTCGGCAATTGAACGCACTTGGTCCGTAAGATTGGCGGCCATTATATTGACGTTACTAGTGAGCTCATGCCATGTACCAGCAACGCCTTGAACCACAGCTTGGCCTCCTAATTTGCCTTCGGTGCCGACTTCTTTGGATACACGAGTCACTTCGGATGCAAATACGCGCAATTGATCCACCATGTTGTTGACGATATCTTTCAATTCGAGAATCTCGCCTCTTGTTTCCACGTCAATCTTCTTGCTAAGATCACCATGTGCCACAGCTTTGGTTACTTCAGCGATGGACCGCACTTGAGTAGTGAGATTGGCAGCCATATGATTGACGTTATCGGTCAAATCCATCCATGTTCCATCAACGTTTGGCACCACCGCTTGTCCACCAAGCTTTCCTTCAGTGCCGACTTCTTTAGCAACACGTGTTACTTCAGCTGCAAAGACGTTGAGTTGATCCACCATGTTGTTGACCGTATTCTTCAAATCTCGAATCTCGCCACGTGTCTCAACATCAATTTGCTTGCTAAGATCACCCCTCGCAACAGCTTTTGTGACTTCAGCAATCGAACGCACTTGTGTTGTCAAATTGGCTGCCATAGTATTGACATTGTCGGTGAGATCTTTCCAGGTACCACTCACATTCGGCACCACAGCTTCACCACCAAGTTTGCCTTCGGTACCAACTTCACGAGATACTCTTGTCACCTCAAATGAAAACACACGTAGCTGATCCACCATGTCGTTGACAGTGTTTTTGAGATCCAAGATTTCACCCCGAGTGACAACATCAATTTTCTTGCTAAGATCACCCCTAGCAACAGCCTTTGTAACTTCGGCAATGGAGCGTACTTGCGTTGTCAAATTGGCTGCCATAGTATTGACATTGTCGGTAAGGTCTTTCCATGCACCACCCACATCCTTGACAACAGCTTGTCCACCGAGTTTGCCTTCCACACCAACTTCAAGAGATACCCTTCGCACCTCCGCTGAAAAGAGCCGTAATTGATCAACCTACATAGGATAAAATGATGAGAAACCAAATTACCAAAGATTGCATTTATCAATCACCTACCATCCTGTTCATTGTATTCTTGAGCTCAAGCACCTCGCCTTGCGCGTTGGCAGTTACTTTTCTGCTCAAGTCACCTCGAGCCACTGCTTTTGCCACAACAGCAATGTCACGCACTTGGTCGGTAATTTTGGATGCCATCATGTTCACATTTTGGGTCAAATCTTTCCATGTGCCACCAACGTCCTTGACCACTGCTTGGCCACCAAGTTTTCCTTCAGTCCCCACCTCGAGTGATACTCGTGTCACTTCGATTGCAAAAGTAGATAGCTACATGTAAACAAGTAAGCATACATCTTCTAAAGATAAGCCCATCGGATGTTACCTACCTGATCCACCATGGTATTGATTGTATTTTTCAAATCGAGCATTTCTCCCTTGACTTCCACCTTGACCTTTTTTGTGAGATCGCCACGAGCCACGGATTTGGAGACTTGAGCAATATCCCGTACTTGGTTTGTGAGATTGGCAGCCATGGTATTGACATTATCGGTGAGTTCCTTCCAAATGCCATCCGCACCAGCCACAGTGGCCTGTGCACCTAGTCGACCTTCGGTGCCGACATCATGAGCGACCCGTGATACTTCGGATGCAAACAAATTGAGCTGATTCACTAAAATAGCATGAATGTGAGCCAAATAAACGAGTCACCTTTGAATGAACATACCCATTGTGTTGAATGTATTCTTCAATAAAAGCGTTTCACCTTTGACAGGAACCGTCATAGCCTTACTAAGATCGCCACGTGCAATAGCTGTCGATACATCTGCAATATCACGCACTTGTTCCAAATGGCTTCGTGTCATGCTGTTGAGGTTGAGCATAAAATCACGCCATACACCTGTCATGTCACGATCACATCGAGCTTGGACACCAAGTTTCCCTTTGACAGCGGTCTCATGAGCGACGTAGGTTGCTTCATCGGCCACGCGTTGTAGTCGGTCTACCATACTATTGACAGCATGCTTCAACATATGGATGGATGATGTAGCGTCGAGACTAATGCCTGTTGCAGCAGCGTAGCGTTCATGGGTACAAGTAATACGTCGATCCAATCTTCCAGCAAATACGGATGAAGCCACCTTGACAGCTTGCATCACACAATCAGGGCATACAGCAAGGTTGCCATTGTCATTGTCGGAGAAAGAAGGTGAGATTGAAGCAAAAAACATAGAAGCACCGGATGAGTTGAAGGGCGGAGTTACAGAAGGTGTTGTGGGAGCATGACTAGAAACGGCTGTTGTCTATTGTGTTACCCCATTTTGTTTGTGCGTGATCTTGAGTGTTTATTTACTTACCAAAGTAGCCACCACCAGGGGTAGTAGCAGCAACAGGTGGCATTGGCAATATAGGGCTTCGGCTGGGGGGATGTAACTTTGAAAGCATGTTGGCGTCTTTGATCGTAGCGAGATCATCTTCTGGTGTAGCTGATGATGATGATGTTGATGATGATGATGGCTGCTTCTCATCCTTGCTAACAGATTCAGTGGAAGGTGCTGATGTGATGGGCGAAGGAGGTTGTTGTTGTTGTTGTTGCTGCTGCTGCTGTTGGTGTACTGTTTTTGACGAAGATGATGATGATGATAATGATAATCGATGACCATCGGATGAAGCTTGAGCAGCAGCAAGAGATGTTAGGTCATCAGGATGTTCGTATTGTTGCCCTGCTGTCAAGAGTTGATATTGCTGCTGGATAGCAATTCGGTATCGTAAATTGTCTGTCTCGAGCATAAGCTGCCGTTGGGCAATGTTCTTCAACGCACTGTCGAGGGAGGTAGCCAAGTCGACATCCTCTGTTGATAGACGCTCCAGGGTATCACGAGATAGCTGTTTACTCAAGCAATGGTCGACATGTCCTTGATCGAGATCTCGTACAAGGTCGTGGACATGGTTGAGAATGAGAGTACTCATACTGAGTTCGTCGTCGGCTGAAACCTTGTTATTGTCGTGTGTGGAATGTGAAATGCAATGCTTCTTGGAATCTTGTTGAGGATCGCCTGTAAATGAGCGTTTCATAACGCCCACATGAATTAGAATCGGTAGAAAGCTGCGACAAAAGTGTCAAAAGCAGGGGGGGGGGGGAGCTCACAAGGGGAATGATTTTCTGCGCTGCAAGAGAGAGAGAGAGAAAGAAAGAGAAGATTTCGTCGATTCAATGCTGCACCAAGTTGCTCAGCTGAAATTAATCCATGCAATCTCGGCTATTGGCTCTTGTATTGAATAAACGCTCGAGTAAGATAGAATGAGCGTGTGATAAAAGAAAGAGGTAATGAACCAAGGAAGCGGTGTATAAGATGCACCTTGGCGACCTCTTGTTGCTGAGTGCCAAACAATCAATGTGGATATCCTTGGTGTTTCAAGAATTCGACGGAGATGATGGTCATCACCCCCTTCCTTCTGGATCATGACCCACCAACAACAACCTGCTGCGTGCTATGGCTGATGCACCACGCGCATACGATATACCCTCTGGTGCATATTCACATTATACCTTTACATCATAAATCACCTATCTCGGATTTGACATTATTAGTCTACCATCTAACTACTTACTTGTGCATCGTTACGCATCCCCCCACTTGCAAATAATTCTATCTTTGTCGGCGTCAAATAAAGCCTTGGCTGTGTCGAACTCCTCAAGCCCATCCACTCGCTTCCATCGGATGAATTTTGATGCGAGAAAGAAAAATCCTATTTATATGATTGTAGCAACCGTAGCAACCGTTTCATAGCTACTATTAACAGCCTGCCATACAAATAAGAAAGCTCAAAATGCATCTTTCCATATCCGGGATCCCTTACCATAACACCGACCGCGGATCAAAATGAAGCACGTAGGAGTTGCTAGGTATACGAAATGACATGATTCTATCGCTCACTTCTTCAAACAGTCGCTAGGCAGGTTTAGACAAGAGTATTGAATAGTAAAATGACGAGCTATGAGCATTCATAAAGCGGGAAAGTGGGAAAGAAGACCTTCCATCCTCGTCAATTATAGCACCACCAGCAACGCACCAACATAGTAGCTTCTTCTTGATCGATATTGACTTTATTGAGACGCTGACTACTACTTTTAATTATACACGCCTGATGATGTAATGTGTATACTACACTCTCCGCTTTTTCAAATACAAAGTTTATTCACTGAATTGGTCATCATCAATGTCTTCAGGATACTCCTCGTCAGCAATGTCCGAGTCATCCTAATGCAGGTAGCAAGAAGTATGCATCTTTTAGAGCCACGGTCTCCTTTGTTTTTTCTTTCTTTGTTCATACCACTTCATATGCCGCCATTGCTTGATCAAAAAGCTCTTTCATATCTTCATCTTTTGGATCCACTAACATCGGTGGCGTCATCTTTGCCTTGTTTTCAATCCTATACCAATATCCATGAGCATCCTTGATACATGTGCATCAGCGTTTATATAACTTTTACCTTGGATCAGCACCCGCTTCCAACAATTGATCGACCATGGCTATCGCGATATCATAATCTTCTTTGTATTGGACTGCCTTGTGTAACGGAGTATCTTGATCGATTCGGTCACGCATATTGAGATCGATAGCCTTAAGCGTCACCAATAATTCGAGGCATGACAACGAGCCATACTTTGCACTTTTGTATCGAACCTCTTGTAAGAAAAGAAAAGAAACAAGACAACCAGCCAATGAACTCATGTTGACTTACGCGTAGTGAAGAGCACCATCACCAATGCCGTCGACAAAGTTGTAATCGACATCGTCGCTGTTGAGCATTTCCTTGAGCAAGTCGTCTTGATCGTTGCGACATGCAGCTAGCATGATCTCGTCTAGAAGTTGTTATAGTTATGTTAGCAATTCTCGAGATAGAGTTCATGATAAATTACTATGGGTGGCCCCTTCTTGGTCGTCCATGCTCAAAAAGAAAGAAAAAAGGTGGCTGATCACGTTATGCGTGCATGAATGCAATTTGATGTGGCGGCGACAGGCTTACATTCTATTCGCTTCCTACCATAGCAACAACACAAACCCAGTCATTTCATATCACTTTCATGAAACATTGTATAATAAAGATGCGCCATGCCTTCAACTCAAGTGTGTCGATCCATGTGTGTAACTCAAAATAATACAAAGACAACCCATATTAGCTCCGAGACAATAATATGGATGAACTTACAACAACAAAGAAACCTCTTCATTAGCCACAATGCTTAATCACTAATCCACGAAGCAAGGATTACTTGGCATAGTGATAAGTATGACCAGTTAGATACCAAACAAAGGGTAAATCAAAACATAGCAACATACTACTAGACCCCCATGTTCTTTGCTGCCTTGGCGATATTACTGCGCCCATGATGTATGAATGACTATAATCAAACATCATTGGTATCATCTTCACCAGGATGCTGATATATGTCAAGCAAGGGTAAGTAGCGTAGGAGAGTATTTTAAACGCCATCTTTCTCCATTTGTTTATTGCACAACATGATGATACATAGAATTAACGTGTGTCGAAAGGAGTATGTTGATAGTTACTCAAGCACAATGACACTTGATTCATGCATCAATGAGCAGCATCGTCATTATTCACATTCATTCAGCTACATACCACCAGCCCATTGCTCATCAACCATGAAATGACAGCATTAATAGAGTGGAGCCTATAATTACGGGATCTGGGTCGATTTCAGGGGGAGGAAAAAATCTCGACTGCACACTCTCAGACGAGCTTACTATTCTGATCATTGACCTTGCTATTTCTGTTAGATTAGTAGCACATGCAATAAAATGAGCCGGGAAAGATACCGATTTGCCTAGCAACGCAGCGTAAATGTTTCTAAGAGTAATGGCATCAAACCACTATGATGTGCAAGGAAAAAAGCATGTGTAATATTGGTTTTGTTTACAATGAACTGCGTTTGTGTGTGTACTCATTTCCATACAAAGCGATAGGATAAGCATTGGAGGACATCAGCAGGCACTGATTCACGAGTGATAGCCATCCACAATATATGATCAATGCGGCTATTCCATTACTGGTGTTTGTTTCATTTTGAGGAGCTTCTTTCACACACCTGGAACATCCTCTGCAAAGTCGTTGTTCTTTTTATCTTCACTTGTTCTCATACTCAAGACACTCATGAGCCGTTCACCGAATCACTCGGAGCACCGTTACTATGCTTCCCACTTCCCAGCCAATGACCCATACCGAGCAATGAGAAAAAGTGCAACTCCAGGTTAGATCCAAACCCTCGACAATAGAGGTTCTTCTTTATTTGCTAATGTAAGTATATATGCATGTCATTTGTAGATTCCAGCGAAAGCAAAGGAGGCGGGGTGGAACACTCACGTACTACTTCCGAGAGTAGCACAGGACGGCTGGCAAATACAATACCATACCACCCATACGATGACTATGAAGATCCCTACGCCACACGACAAAAAATGCGACGCAATGAAAACATCACATCTGCTCGAGCCAATTCATATCTACCTTATTCACATTATCGCCAAGATTCTTTTAACACACGAGGCCCGATGGCACTTGAAGATGATCGATTACAAAGCTTTGCGACAAGTCAAGGTGCTGGCAGTAAAGGGATGGGTTCTTTATTGCAAGATAACATGATCATGGATAAAATGATGGAACCAGCCAACGCTACCGCTGATGCTACCAATGCAAACCGGCATAAAGCTCACTCTACGGCATCCATGCTCGAATCACTACCTGAAGAGCTCAAGCGTCGAAGAAAGAGACGACGATGGTGTTGTGGAATTCGGCCTCGTACAGCGCTCCTTATCTCGCTCCTATTTATTGCCATTATTGTGGTGATTTGGTATTTTGTATGGCCTCGATGGGTATCCAGTGTACAATTTTCGAATGCAAGCCTGACAACGCCATCTGGCGAGAGCAATACGACATATGATGCGACATGGGAGCTTAATTTGACTGTAAGCAACAATGATAATTGGGTACCTACGAGGGTCAAGAAGTTTTACGTCGAGGTATTGGATGGTAATACCAATGTCAAAGTTGGTCAAGGAAGCACAGGATCCATGGTTCTACCACCCAAGAGCGATGAATTGACAATTTCGCTTCCTGTTCACGTATATTACAGCAGCAACAATCCCGATGATGTTACGTTGACTGATCTTGCAGCATGTATTTCCATCAATCAAGAATCCGGTACACATCAAACGATCAATCTTATCTTTCAGGTCGAACAACAAATCTATGGCATTGCCTGGAAACACACAATCGAAATTAATCCTTCCATGGTAACATGTCCCCAATGGTGATACCCCCTCTTCTTGTATACAATGCTTTTGTTGCCTTAGTAGATCTCCTCTTAATAATAGTACCTATTTCCTATTCCTTTGTAAATAAATCATAACCATGCCTCTGTCCCTATAATTATGCTCATTGAAATGGATGCCACACAATATACCACGCCGACAATGTGCTACTCTTTTATTCGCTATGTATGTGATATGGTTAAGACTACGCATCATTGGATGACATTGCTTGTTATCAAATCTGTGGACCACATGTGCTTTTTATTGTTGTTCAATCTAATAAAAACAAGGGGTATCTAAATACTCAATTATCTGATCCTTAAGTATCGAAAGGGCTTCGATGTCTGTAAATCAACCTAAAACGCATGGGAGACTTCTTATCATCGGTTCTCAGCTTGCTCTTCGTCGTGGTATGGACGCATGTACTTATGTCACCTACAAAGGAGTCTCGATTTTCCCATCAGTTTAGGCATCCTTTTAATAATACATGAGTGATAATTATACCTTCCCCAAAGGATTCATCAAGGAACACAGTGTAAAGCAATGATGTGAGCTATAGATGACAACAAAAAAAAAAGATGAATGCATGAGTACCCTCATCTTGGGGATCGCATTAAGACCATCCTTGAGACTTACCAAAGGCCATTGATGAGGATGTGAATACAAGTAGAAAGAAAGGACGTATGATAGTGTTGGTGCAAACAGCCTTGCTTATATATGAATGGGCGTGGGAATTGTTGTCACGATTGATCAATCTGATAAAGTGGTCAAGCATCTTGGAGACAAGCATCCTTATCCATGGCTGCAAACTAGTTGCTGCGTGTCTTGACTTCATCCTTCCAATATCATCCATGGCTGTAGAACACCTTTCGTCAAAAGATAGAAGCCCCTTCGTCAACTCCATCCAATCCATCATCATCATCCTCAACCGTATCCATGTGATATGAACCATCCTTCCCGCTGACGACGTGCCAAGTAACCAAAGCAACATTCCAGGATTTCCCATCACTGAACCTGATTGCATCCATCCATCCATCATAACCATGTTGGTTGAAAAGAGCCATGTGATCACTGTTGATATGCCTCCTTTTCCATCCGGCTGCTGGCCTATCCCTTTCTTGGTCATTTCCATTGATGCCCAACTAGGCGAAGATTGCTTGTATTGCAGGGTACTTGATAGCTGATATGGGATCATCCATTGGAAGTTGTATGTATCAAAGCAAAGTTGCTACGCGGAAATAAAGCTGCTCATATACCATGGCTATCTGCTGTCCACGCAAAAGGGCTGAAAGGCAGGATGCTGCAAGTAACGTGAGACAACGGTGACCTTGCTAATAGCAACTGCTGTTACGCTTGTCGTGCAGAGGAGAGTACAAGAGGCGTGTGTTGTAGTAGAGTGACAAGGTTGTGAATGCTGTTTGAGACAACGGAGTGAAGTTCTTGCTAATGGCAACTGCTGTTACGTTTGATCGTGGCAGAGAAGTGCGCAAGAGAGTGCGAGTATCGTCAAAGGCATGCGCTGTATTGGGTGTACACACCATGGACTTGCCATTCAGTCCAAGACAATCGGATCAAGGCAATTGTAGGATTGACATGATGGGTTGAAGCAGGACAATCGTTCGCAGGTGGTAGTTGTACACTTGAGTGGGGCAACAGTTGAGAATGGGAGGAAGAGACAAGAAGTTGGGGGGGATGGAAGAAGTGGAAATTGAATAGGACAGCTCTTATATAAATGCATGAACACTGTACATCAAGCCTTGACCCTGACATGACTTACCTATAAAAGATACACAGTGAATAGTTTCCCGAACCCATAGAACGATACTTAGCAATGGTAGCTGCATCCATAGAAATCCCAATGCACCAGAAGACAAGTAGCTTGCTGAATAGCCGTACACCATAATAAAAAAGGATGTTAGTTGGGATTGGAGCCAAAAAACGGATCATCCACTATTTACCAATGAAAGTCATATGAATAAAACCCTGTCGACATCCAATGATAGCTGCATCAATCAAGCATCCAAAGGGAACAAGACAAGTAGCTCGCTGAATAGCCCACATGAAAGAGGGTGTTAGTAGGCGTTGAAAGAAAGAATGGATCACTATTTACCAATGACAGCTTCATCCATGAGAATTCCAAAGGACCAGAAGACAGGTGGCTTCCTCGATAGCCAACGTACTATAATAAAAGAGGAGGTTGGAAGGCGTTGAAAGAAAGAATGGATCACCATTTACCAATGATATCCATA